ATGCAAAGACAAGTAGGGCAACCATAGACCGTACAACCAGTAAACTAAACAATACAAAATGGTTACGGCACTTTAAAATAAGGTCAACCAATACATAATGGTTCCCCACTAGTGGGTCTTATACCAAAGAAAAAAATAATAATGAATTCTTTTTAGTAAAAATGTGTGTAGTTTACGATATGATCATATGAGTGTATTAAATTATACATTAGTTTGAACTTAATCGTGGTTTTACAATTACTCAGGTCATTGGAAGATCTGAATGCCAACTTCAACAAGCTGAGCCAGATCCCAGACACCATTGGTTTTGAGCTCCACAACCTCAAGAAGCTATCAGTGAACTCCAACAAGCTTGTCTTCCTACCACGCTCCCTCACCCACCTGTCTTCTTTGCGCGTACTAGACGCTCGTCTCAACTGCCTCAGGTCCCTCCCTGAAGATCTTGAGAACCTTATCAACCTTGAAATTCTCAATGTGAGCCAAAACTTCCAGTACCTTGAAACCCTACCATACTCCATTGGCCTCCTCATGTCTCTTGTCGAATTGGACGTCAGCTACAACAAGATCACGGCTCTACCAGACTCCATCGGATGCCTCAAGAAGCTTCAGAAGCTTACTGTACAAGGCAACCCTATGTCTTCGCCTCCTCCTGAGGTGTTTGAGCAAGGATTGCATTCAGTGAAGGAGTACCTTAGTGAGAAAATGAATGGGGGACACAAGAGCCCACCCAAGAAGAAGTCTTGGATGGGCAAGTTGGTCAAGTACGGCACGTTCAACGGGGCTCGAAGCGTGTCCCGGGAGGAGAAAGAAGGGTTCATTATGCCCGAGTATCGCTCCATCGACGGCCTTGCTTCCCCGAGGTACATGGGGATGTTCTCACCACGTCGCCTCTTCTCTCCCCGTAATTACTTCACTCGGTGAAGGGTAAAATCGTCTTTCGGAAAAAAAAAATTAATGAAAATTAAGAATCCTACTTACGTTCATGAATCATGAGTTTGAATACTCATGAGGATGGGTTTAATTTCGAGTGCGTGTGTGTGTGTTTTTGTTTTTGTTTTGGGTGATGGTATTGGTAATTAATGGTGTTATAAACCATGTAGGTCAGTGGGGTTGATAGTAGGATCGAGGGTTGTCTTGTGGATAAGTTCTTTGAGCAGATCATGTAGCCTGCATTAGAAATAGTATTATAGGTCTCCTCTATATCAGATAGATACATGGGGTCTATGGGGTCTTTTAAAATATTAGTATTTCATGCATGTCTGGTCTGTAAATAAATTTCATGGGCTTCATGTACAGTTTTGGATCTTTTTATAAATAAATCTTTTGTAGCTACCGAAATTAATTATATCCTTTTTTTCTTATCCTTTGCTTCATAATCATATGTTTAGGCAGAGAACCAAGACTTTGTTCTACCCAAAGTAACGAGCCAAATGTGAGCGTGTGTGTGTATATATATATATAAAGAAAAACCAGTAACCCCGCTAAGAGAAAAAAAAAATACTAGTAATTAAACAAAATCAAAAGTCGTGTTTCTTAAATTAACATTACTAGGAATAAGAAAATTGGGTGCATATCTCGAGGCAATAAGGTCTAGACTGAGTGAGTGAGTGGCAATTCACATGAAAAAAGGGCTTTAACCTCAAATCCACTACTTCCTCATCTTCGTCCTTATGAAAGCAACACCTCCACAAAACAATATCCTCACATCTTAACTAGTTTTATTGGTTTTGTTGCTTTTTGGTTCATTATATGCATGCGATCACCCAATTTGAGAGTTCAAATCCGTGATTTTTTAGGCCAAAAATCAAGTGGTTGTTCATATTTCACTCAACACGAGCACTGACCAAAACACAATTGGTCAATGTTTAAACTCAAGAAGTAAACATCCATATATCTCGTCCAAAACCACCTAAACGAGGATTTAAATGTCCTTTTATCAAATGCAAATTGATTGCATTGTCCTTAAGAAGGCTTTTATGCTCAAGGCTAAAATGATCATTTTGACTTCCATTATAAAGGATTTTTATTTTATTTTATTTTTACATAAGCTGGGGGGATTTGAACACGGGACTTCAAGTGCATGAGTAACTACTTTTTACCACTTAAACTACAAGCACTTTGCCACTAAAAGGGAGTTTATTGACCGAATTTGAGGAATCTAAGTAATAACACCCTATATAGGTCTACATTGATTAAGGGTTTGTTTGGGATGTGAAATTAGTTTTGTCGTCAACCAACTAGCCGTTGATCTAGCGATATTTGTCTTCATTTAATTAGAGGAGGCTTCAATAGATTTGACTACTTGGATAGCTAGACAATTTGTGATGAGCTTAGAGCATCTCCAATGGAGATATCAAATCCTATTTGGCACTTTTAACGGATAAAAATAACAGCTGAAATTTACTCCAACCGAACAGCTATAGTCTACGTGGAATGGCTTGTGAAGCCTCTGCTGTCGAAATTGCCGTCAAGTGCTGGAGACGTCTTTTGATTAATTTATTATTTCTTTACCCATCTGGTTGTGGCTTTATCATTCATTTAATACTTATCTATATTTTTTTTCTTCTTGTTACTATTTCATGCATCTGTTGTCATTATATGCTTTCATTATTATTTTTCTTTTTAATTCTTTTCCTTTGTTATCGTCACTTGACACTACTATATTGTTGAAATTTTTACCGTTGAAAATTTATGTTGATCTTTTTTATGTTCTTTTCATCTACCAACGTGGAGATGGATGATTTTTTTTGTTTAATTGTATTTATGTTACATTTTATAATTAATTTATAAGTATTTTAACTTGATTAATGAATTACTCTTAATACTAAAATTTAAAAATACATTCATTTAAGAAAGTAATAAATAAATCAACACTATGTAATAAAATAATATTTTAATTTGACATATCGGGTGAGATGTAAAACTATGCAGGATGTCAAATGACCACATCAGCCATTAAATTTAAATTTGATTTTTGGTATTTGACATCTTTCTTAGATATGCTCTTACTTAGCTTTGTTGTGGTATATCGGGCCATTGTAAGCGCATTTCAAGAAGCTTTGTTTAAGAGCATTATAGTGTTGTGGTTTTTTAATTGGGAGGGATGTCAACTGTAGCATTTGTAATCATTTCTATCTTACTCTTGTAATTAAACATTCGTTTACTTGCAAAATGGCTACTGGTTTCGTGCACCTTCAGTCGATTTGAACAAACCTAGCAAGCTTTTCCTCTCAACAAAGTCTAAATTTTGCAGAACAAGGACATTTAAATGACTCAGACATCGATTTGAACCAAACCCAAACAGACTCAAGACCAGCTACCAACTTATACCAGAAAACTAATCTTACAAAAATACATCCAATAATAACATAATTACTTCTAAACTCCAATCATACGGCAACGCAGAAGACCAATAATCTTGAGGACAGTCTATCTACAAGGCAAAATCCATAAACTAAGATTTGTGATGCACAGATCGGACTGAAAGCCAAACAATGCCAAAGCAAGTATGGAATCCATTTTTGAGGAAAAAACCAACGATTCTGTTTTCAAAATCTCCACATGCCACTTTCTTGTCGATTTTCCGTCTGCTGTATGGAAGTAGGGAGAGTAGACTGGAGGAGAGTTCATAACGGTTACGATGCTTGTGCTCTTGTGTTTTTTGTGTTACAAATGGAGTGCAAAAAAAGGGTTAAAAATGTGAAAATGGGAAAAGCTTCTTAAGATCCTAGCGATCAGCTTGATCTTCTAGTGACAGAAGGGAGAGATGTGCATCTCTCTCATCGGAAACTGAGAATTCCTGTGGATGCATACGTGTTGCCCCAAAAACAAATGAGTTTTTCTATGCATTCCATTTTGTTTTTCATCCAAACAAGTAATCATCATGCAGGGCCTAGACTTTTCCTTGTTTCCAATAATTTTTACTAGTTTTCCATAAAATAGAAACAATTCCTGAATGTGACCTGTGATGGATAGTAAGGTAACAGCCTAGACCACAGAGGAAATAGGTTTTGAGGACAATGAGAATCAATTGTAATAGTTACAGAGCATTTCCTGACTATTAAATAAGCAGCAGCAGCAGCAGCAGCAGCTTGCTCAAACACTAGAACACCGCCACTAGAAAACATGGATATGGATGCAAGGTACACATATGATATGGATTAGACTCTACCAACCTAAAAGAAAACAAAAGTTATAATACTGTTCCGAAACAACAGTAAACAAAAACATCTTCAATCAAAAGATAATCCCTGTTGTAGTTAGAAACTAAAAGTTGACAAGTCATCTACTCAAAGGAAGTGTTCATATATGCATTTGTCATTCATGTACAATTAGCAAAGGATGTTACGTTTTCATTTATGATTATAGTCCTTCCCTATTAAAAAACCAGAAATTCAAAGTTTAGCACCCCCTCACATTTGCAAAAGCCTATAGACTATGTTCCCTTAACAATCCTATGGCATATGCTTATTTCAAACTCCTACTATGTATCAAAAAACATTGACATGGATATGATGCTATACTATTAATATAGAAATTGAGGGGCACTTTACGAGTGTTACAATCTCATATCGACATTTAGTATTATTCATGTAAAATACATATCAGTATCTCAAATGAAGTCCTCCCCGGATTCATTGGTAAGAAAAATTTCCAGTAACGATGTAAAGATTTAGAGTTTTAACCCCGCAGACATTATGCTTGCAATTACAAGCAAAATTTATCACACAGAATTCCACATTCTCCACCATAGTGCAGCACATCGAATTCAAGGAATATCATAGAGTATAATCTAGTCTTGGTCCCTAGTGTTAAATGAATTACGCCCTACCATTTCTTCCATGATAATACAATTACAAAACTTTATGCTGCTGAGCCAATAATATTGTTGTGAGACCTTCCAAACCCACTTAAAGCATGCTTCTTTGAGGCAACAAACAAGAAATTCGATTGAACAAAAGCAGAGAGTAAAAATCAAAAACAGATAAATCACGAAATGATACAGAGAGATATCAGATTCAAATTATACGATAAATATATAACTCCATGTCTAAATTAAACCATAATTGAGGTCCACAATTTGCAAGATCAACTGAAACTGAAATCGAAATTGAAAATTAAGGTGCTAATTAGCTACCTAATGAAGATAAGCCGGGATCTTGATGCGAATAAAGAGCATACTCATAACATAGGCCAAAACGACCGAAGATATCCCTGCAGTGGCATACGAGACTTTCACACTCTTGGCTCGGTTTCGATCCAGGGCCAAGTCCATCAGCACAATGCCGATCCCGCCCAGCACGAACATGAACCCGGACGACAGACCCTCGATTATGTACTGCCCGTTGACCCGGCCCTGGAGGAAGACGACGGGTCGAACCGAACCCGTGAGGCGGTCCTGGGTAGATCCGATGCCCGGAGGCTCGACAATGACATCGTAGACGATTCCAGAGACGACCATGAAGTAGGTGAGGAGAACGAGGGCGTAGACGGTCATGGGGGAAGGGAGGGTGAGGGATGGGAGCTTGAGTCGGAGTCGGGGCGGGCGGAGGAAGCTGTAAGGGAGGATCCGAATGAAGAGGAAAAGCGGGTCGATGGAGGCGGAGGATGGGTCGTAGGGGGTGGTGGTTGTGGCGGTGGTTGGGGGCTGGGTTTCTGATTTTGGGGGCATTTTGGATGGGTCGGATTTCGGTTTTGGTGGGGAGTTGCCGTGTGGAGTGTAGGGGACTGAAGGGTGATGACTATCCCGACTATCTGAGGGTGAGTTGGGAGTTAGATGGGTTTTGAGTTTTAAGGAGGGGTAGTTTTGATATTCAATAGATAGAGAGCAATAACCTCCTCTCCTTTTCTTTTTCTTTTTTTTTCTTTTAAGAAATGAAATTCATTCACGGTGCGTTTGGATGTGGGAAATGAACTTGGGATTTTGACAAAAGTTATAATTTCTAAATTGACATGAACCAATTCTCGTGCTTTGAGTTAAAAAAAAGCATCGAAATTTAGAAATTCCGTGTGAGAAAAAACATGGAATTTGGATATCATAAATCACAACTTTAAATTCTATCTAAAAGTCGTCATTTCTAAAATCTCAAGAGATATTGAGTTTTTAAAAAAGATAACTTTACAAATAAAGGTTAAATTATGTGTTTTAAATCCGTTACCCATACAATAAATTTTACAAATTCTATAATATTAATTTCAATTATTTATAAAATTCCTTGTACTTTGAAATTTCCTCATCCAAACGCACTGTCATAGAATCAAAGTAGTGTATATAGAACAACACGAAACAATGGTCTTGTTAAAATCTTCCCGAGGGACAAATCTCAAGGTAAGAAAGAGTACCACACATGTTATAGACTAACAAGAGAGTCTGAAACAGTCACGCAAGACCAATGCTAGAGCAAGATAAAATAAAACAGCAAACTAATACATAGATCTTCGACGAAAACACTACAACACAATCCAACTGTCAAAAGAGTCCTACTATGATATTATAGTCCTTTGTATAGCCACAAGATAGTGAGAACATCCGACAGAGAACACGATATGTTGAGAAGAAAGAAAATAACCATTAAGCATACCATCTCCAGCCACCTTTAGTAGTAATTGGTGATGAAAAAAGAGAAATCTGTAAGGAGTAACACAAAGAAGAGACTAACCCAAACAGGGCATGTAATTATAGAGACGAATAAAAAATATTTGAGGCATCACAACTATCCATGTAAACAATTTGCATGGACGTCTCAAAAGATGTTGAGTTAACACATGCAATTGAGGAGAAATATGATAATACAAGAAAGAAAAGTAGCTAGCTGCTAGACATTAGCCTCATAAGTGTGGGCTACTGACCTTGGTCATCAAGTTGGAGATTCTTATATTTGGAACCGGCTTATGCTAAACCTGCTTAAGCATGTTCTATTTTTCCGAAAAAAATAAATAAATAAATTTAGTAGTGGGTGCTGCTTGCGTGATTTAGGGTTTAAGATTAAGATCAAATCATATGACACCGTTAAGGCCCAACAAGGGCACTACCAACTAAAATCGAACTAGATCAATTCCAATGAGTTGGGTTGTTTTTGGGCCGTCATTTAACAATATAACAAATCCAAGTGAGGGCCTTATTTATAGTCCTTTATGTGAGGTCCTATCTATTAACCGTCAGATTAAGCTAACTAATTTAATTTAACCGCTAATCAATTTGATCCAACGATTAAGAGATAGTGCCTCAACTAAGGGCCATATATAAGGCCATCACTATATAATTCAACTCATATATACATTGCTCAAACTAACAATTTTGTTTTTTTGTTTGACTCAAACTACATTATCAAAGAGCTCTTAATTAGCTAACAGGGTCTAACCTTATAAAAAAAGGATTTTAACTTACAGACCAATGGTCTCAAGTCCAAATCCTCATGTCACTTGGATAGTTTGAGTTCGAGAAACCCCTTCCTTTGTAATTTAGACTATAGTTTGTATTTAATATATATAAAAAATTCTTAATTTTGCTGTAAATTACATTCTTTAAATCTAGGTCACATTGGTTGTTGGGTAAACTTTCTTTTCCGACAAAAAAAAAAAAACTTTCTTTAAACCCAAGTCACGTTCGCACATAGACAAAAAAAAAATTCTTTAAACCCAAGTCACATTCGTTGATAGACAAGTTTTCTTTTCTGATAAAAAAGGAAAAGAGAGAGAAAAAAAACATAATAAAAATTGGTCGACTGTCGGTACTCTGGGCGTGATTTGTTCAACCTACCTTTTTTCTTTCTTTCCTAGTCTCTCAGACAGACAACTTCAAATTTCCGCCATCACCGCTCTCCTCGACCCACGTGTCCCTCCCTCTCTGTCTCTTTGTAACTCGAACTTAGTACCACAAGCTGCACCTCACTCTGACCCCAATCTCTACCCCCCTCTCTCCCTCTAAAAAGAGTTTAGAAAGAGAAAGACCCAGAAACCCAAAAACAGAGCCGTTACCATTGTTTCTGAGAGAGAGGGAGTGACAGAGATCGAAAGGGTGATGCTTTGCACCCGTAAAAATGTTAAATTTCTTAGTAAGGAAAGACGTTAGGAAGATTCTCAAGCGCAAGGATAGTGATGCTGGTGAAAGAGGTAACTTTTGCTACTACTAATTTCAATTTCCAACAAAAGCTGCTACCTTTGAAATTTATATTTAATTTTTAATGTTGTTCATATTTGGGACTTTTAATTCTCATATTTTGGCCATTGGGTACCTGTGTTTTTCAGTTAATAAGCTTAATTAGCTATAAAGGGTCTCTTTGTCTGTTGATCTGGGTGACATATGCGTTTCGGTGATGAATAGTGTGAAACACTTGCATTATTCTTTTATTCCAGCTCCATTAGTTTTTTTTTTTTTTCCCTGATAAAGTTTGTGGCTTGCGTTTGAATTCACTTTTGGGTGTTCAACAACTTGCATGTGAGTTTTCCTCATTGCTGTTTTGCCTTCTTGTTTGTAGGTTCTAATATCTGTTACTTTATTCATTTACGTCGACTGATTCGCATGAGCCATTAATTGACTATCTTCTTCACCACTTTGTTGTTCTTAGGAAGAAATAATAAGATAGTTGCAGACCCTAAAATATATTTTTCATTGATGTAACTTATACGTACATGCTTGCAGCTTGTACTAAATACCGTGCGGAACGATTTTTTAATTTTCTTATGCCAAGCGATTTTGTTTAGTTTTGAAGAGAATATATAAATAAAGATTTTGCTTAGTTTTAAAGAGAATAAATATATTCTTTTCTTTTTTATTCTTGAGTCGAATATTTATTTTTACTTTTTTTCTCTTCCTGGATGCACAAATTTATGTAAATTTATTATATCCTTTTTTTTTGTTCTTAATGAATAATATATTTCTTTCTAAGTTGGAAATATTTATGCATATGGGTATTTTATGCAGACTATCATATACAATGCATATGCACACCAAAAACATTATTTATATGATGAATAACATTTATGGATTGACATTTGTTATATTTCATAGGCAGCTATTCCAGTTTGTTAAGTTTTGCCATGAAAGAGAATGATATCTTATTATAATTGTACTTTGGTTATTTAGGAAAGGTGAATTAATTATACATTGAGCAAACCATGTACGGTATACTAATAGTCATGGATCTGCAGTATGTTGCTCATTGATGATTTATTTTTTTCTCCATCTTTGTGTACATGAACTCAGGAAGAGCTCTAGAAGACTTGCGGGCAGCTCTATTTAACGAATTTCGCTCATCTGAAGGTGCAAAGCGTCAACAACAACAACTATGTGGCCCTGCTACTGCTCTTACATTCAATTTTGTAATTGCTGTTGGTATAATTTTCGTGAACAAATTGGTTCGTATGCTGAATTCTCTATATATTTATTTATTCTATCCATATTTTGCCAGACTGGATTTTAAAATAGCAGTTTTCCAGCTGATAACTTACCCAGCTTGTATTTCCTCAGGTGCTCAAAGTTGTTGGGTTCCAGTTTCCTATATTTCTCACTTTTATCCACTATGTCGTTAGCTGGTTTTTGATGGCCATTCTAAATGCTCTGTCTATCCTCCCTGCATGTCCCCCAAAATCGACTCGCTTATCTACGTTATTTACTCTTGGTTTTGTTATGGCCTTTTCTACTGGCCTTGCTAATGTTAGTTTGAAGTACAATAGGTGAGATATTTCGTCAGTATTCCTACCTACAGAAAAGATCATCAGATTCTATTTTTCATAATTAATTTTAATTTTCAACATTGAGTTTGATGTCTATTTCTTCAGTGTGGGGTTTTATCAGATGTCTAAGATTGCGGTTACTCCATCAATTGTTCTCGCAGAATTTTTATTGTACAATAAGAGAGTTTCTTTCTCCAAGGTAGCTCCTTCCTTTTGGAAGTATAAATGTCAATTCAATATGCAAATAAAATGCAGTTTTATGTTCTTGCTATTCCAGGCTGAGTTTTTGTTTTCGTAGGATAGAAAATTGGTGTCAGGTTTTACATGTTTGTGAAAGTATTTGCTCTCCCTTTCCTCAATATTTTCATCATTTCACAAAACTCTGAAATGAGGAGGAAGTAGACCACATCAATGTGTCCCTGCCTATTGTGAAAGATATACTATTTGGAAACTGTATTAAATTGTAAAACCTGGCATTCCCCACTGATAGAAATTTTTTTTTTCAGACATCCAGGAAATCTTACATACATATTTCTTTCGGTCTTGATACTTTGGTTTGTAGGGTGCTTGTGTCCAGCTTCATGTAATTGGTTAATTTATTTTTCTATTATGCTGTGTTTCTTGATTTTTAATTGTTGTTCTTATACAAAATTTACTTGTCATTACCCTCACTCTAACCATCTATAACAGCTTCTCCTTTCCGTTCTAACTCCTTGGTATGAAATTTTCAGGTTCTAGCACTTACAGTAGTATCCTTTGGTGTTGCCGTGGCTACAGTAACTGATCTGCAATTCCATCTCTTTGGTGCTTGTGTAGCATTAGCATGGATAATACCAAGTGCAGTCAACAAGATTCTTTGGTCTAGTCTGCAACAGCAGGAAAATTGGACAGCCTTGGCGTAAGTGGTGCTCCTTTTGAAACTCTTCAGTTTGTATTTGAATCTCCTTGATATTGACCTCTAGTTGGAAGAATTTATATTTACAGCTAACTAAAATGCGAACTGTTGAACAGGTTAATGTGGAAGACAACGCCAATCACCTTATTTTTCCTTGTTGCACTAATACCCTGGTTAGATCCACCCGGTGCCCTCTCATTCAATTGGAACTTTAATAACACCTTGGCAATTCTCATGTCAGCTATTCTTGGCTTCTTGCTTCAGTGGTCAGGTGCTCTAGCACTTGGGTATGTGATATCTGTTTGTTCCTTTTGATTATCCTATGTTACTGTTTTGTTCCATTGTTTCCTATACAAGAGTTTTGACGTCCGATGTCGTTGTCTTATGGTTTACATAGGTTCGTAGCATAAACAAATTAGTCAACATGGTACACTGTCAGAAATGAAGTAAAATATATATATATATAAAATTTCTCTAATAAGATCCTTAAATAAGGTTCTTTTGGCTGCTGTTATATTAGATATGGATGGCTGAGGTTCATTGAGATTTATCTTACCTGATTTGCATGTCAACTTTCCATGTATTATTATATGGCTCGGAAACAGGTTCGTTTTTGATGACCTCATCAATCTGTCTACCTTTCTGTATCTGTATTTCTCATTGTCTCTTGCTTTTGCTTTTATTTAGCTTTTTGTTGAAGAGGGAGAAACTTGAGATTTTTACTTGAGAATTCTGATACTGGAAATAAGATTTGGTCACCTTTCAAATTGATAAAAGGATATATAAATTATCATTTTGAGATGAATCTTCCCTATAAGATATCCTGTCAATTTATTCACTCTTACCATTTTCGTAACCACCCAACATAATTTGAATTTTGATTATAGAATACTGCTTCCAATGCTACAACGCAGCAGTGGTTCAAATTTTAAGTCCATGATGAAAAGCACATTGGAGTATAATCTATGGGTGTGTATGATTCTCATTTATAACAGTATAGTGATCTAGGATTACAAAGAGTCCTAGCTAGAGCAGTAAGCTGAGACACTTATCAGATTCTCTTGCATTACTTTACATTGCACTTGAAAACCTAGCAACAATCAACAACATTATTAAAGAGTGCAATAGCTGATATGGGCAACAATGGGAGGTTAAACTTATCCATCGTAGGCATACTAATAATTACAACTGGGCATGAAAGTCAAACAACACCTACCAATAAGGTTCAGGGTTAAACTTAAATAACACATACCAGTATGCTGCCACAATAACTAGGATTACCTGTATGTACAAGACTGAGCACATGCTTGCACAATTCACACTACTTTGGTATCGCACCAAGCTTGACCCGTAACACACTTTGGCATGTGACCATTATGTTAAATGACATGAAGTTTCAATTCTATTGATAACCATTTAAACAGTCTTTTGTCTTTTGTGTCACTGGATGATGGCTGAATGGTTGTAATGTATCTTGGGGACTACTATATGTTTGTTCATCACGACTTTTATATTACTTTGTTAAAAGTATGGCATGCAAAATTTGATTTTGGTTGGTTCTTGTGGTTCTGATATCCTTGATTTTTTTTTTTTCCTTCATCTTTCTGTGAATTGACAGGGCCACATCTGCTGTTACACATGTTGTTCTTGGTCAATTCAAAACATGCGTCATTCTTCTAGGAAACTACTACCTCTTTAGTTCGAATCCAGGCAAGACGAGTATTTCTGGGGCTTTCACAGCAATTGCTGGAATGTCTATTTACACTTACCTTAATTTGAAGCAGCAATCGAGCAAAGCTCCACGACAAGCCTCTTCTTTGCCAAAATCAAAACTGAGTAAAGAAAATGGCAGCATCCATGAAGGAAACTACGGTTCTGAATCTGTCTAACTTATCAAGCTAGATACATGAGAAGATCTAACCCTCTCCACTAACTCGGGCATTGTTTCGTTTGTTCATTTTTAGCTTAGAATTTTTTAGGTACTCAATCCACTTTTACCATGAATTGGAGTTTGGTAGTAGTCTATATGACAATACCTGCTCCAAGGTCACCTTTTGTGGATTCTGTGGGGTTCTTCAGCATTGCCTTGGCTGCAAATTGAACACTGTATATATATTAATGAATGGAAGGTGTCTTTACTGGTTACAGCTTATTCATGTGTTTCATTTTATTCTTGTTTGCTCGCCATAGCTCCCTAGTTTTTGTGAGTTTGTTTAAGTTATTCAACCAGAATAATATCTATCTTAAATAAACTTGCCCATGATATTGCTAGTGTTAGTGAGATCACCTTGCTTACAAGGCAAAAGATAGCTGAAGCTGTTCTTTGCTTTCTTTCAAGCTATTGGATTCTATCCTTTGCTTTGGCCCTCAATGCATCAATGTGATTAAAAATATAATTATAAAAAACTTTATGGCGTTTTATGTGAAGTCCACGTCAACAAGAAAACTGGAATCCACCTTTGTCACATCAACAATTAACACCTCAATTAACGTTCGTTTGTATGCGTTTGTAAATCATTGATGGTTCTTGTATGAATTTAAAAATAGGACAATAACTTAACTTGAGGGTTATCTGTAAATGAAAATGACCCTTCTTATAATCCCTACTTAATTTTCTGGTTACATATTTCCAATTATTCTATAATTTTATTGTTGCTGTAAAGGACTCTATTTTCTAATAGAAGATGATATGTGATGGCTTGGCTCATGCGATTCACCGTGGTTGGAAGAAGATTTTGATTGGAGATTCTAAGCTCATTGTTGACTCTGCGCCACCAAGCTAGTACTCCGTGGACTGTGAAGATGTTAATTCAAGATGTGTAGCATTTGAGGCTCGTTTTGTGATTCCATCAAGTTTTCTCATGCTTTTTGGGAAGCTAATTTCTTGAACGATGCCTTAGCCAACTTAGGTCCTGGCCTGTCCCCTTCCTTCTTGTGGGAAGTTGGGATTCCTTTATTCGTTGCGCCTGCATTCCTCTTTTTGATCTTTTTGGGCCTAGAAGTTTCGTGCTGTAATGTCCCCCTTTTTTTTTTGTGAAAAAAAAAAGTGAATTAACAGTCAATCATAATAATTGAGGTAATCTGTACAGAACAATTATCACATTGGAATCCTCTTTAGCATTCTTCTTGATTTGTTAGAGCTTAATCTTCAACAATGTGGTCCCCACCCTGAAATTGATGGTCTGTGCTCAGTATTTTTGTAGTGACTAGCGAAAGGCTACCAAAATCATCAAAACTGAAATTAAAATTTAAAACCCAACAAAAAGATTAAACAAAAATCAAAAACCATAAACAAGAAAATGTTGAAGTAACCTTAGCCAACAACCCTACCCAAATGTCACGTATTCATATTACCAAACTTTTCATGGGTTGTGCGACTGTCTTTGACTTGGTCTTTTATTCAAAGTAAGACAGTCCAAAAAGGGCCAAAACCCTAATTGTATAATGAACTCTACACCTATCATTCAGAAAACCCAGACATTTGATTTGATGAAGCCTTGAGCCTCGGAAATTGGAACTCATTAGAAAAACAATTATTGCTACTAGATTGATATGCACGCACACACAGCCACATCCACATCACATGGCCACAGCTTTCGCTGAACTTAATGCATGGTGTCTTCTCTAAGGTTTACAGGAGCTGGTAGCTCTGTTTTCTTTATTAATGGCATGTCTCGAGAGATGACAGGAGTTTATAAACACCTTCATGTGCACTTAGCATATACTACTTTAATTTCGGGTTTAATTTACTATAAAAGACACACTCTCTTGCTTGACCACGTGAGAAGGCATTAGAATATATAGTACAAACAATGTCAATTATAATATGGATAATAACAAACAAATAATATATAGTTTTCCTATTCTATTGTCTTCAAAATTTGGCCAACTTTTAGGTCATTTTCCATAGAATCTAATCCTAAATCCTATGGTTATTGTTTATGCATAACAGCTGGCAAGATCACCTTGATGTGATACCAAGAAACCCCAACACGTGTATTGTTTTGATCTAATCTAATGGCTATATACAAATAAAATAATATATATAAAAGTTATTCTCTTATTCGGATATCTACACGTTATTACCGTGCGGATGTCAATGTGAAAAAAGAATAAAGCAGAAAATGGTAGTAGAAAGTATATGAGATTTACACAATAATAATGTTCAGATGTCCACATAGAAGAATTTCTTTAAAGAAGATCTTTTAAAGGATATTGCTTTGTAGATTAGAACTTTAAGGTCATCTTTGTGAAAAAGTAGTCAAATTGAAAATAGGTTTGCCATCTAAACTGTATATAGCCAAATACAGTTCATTAATTGAAGTTCAATCATTTTAATGAGACGATTCTTAGAAGGGAAACCTAAACAATAGACACATCCCGATCATTGGAGTGCATGCATACTGAAAATAGGTTGTTGTGTGTATTTGTTGGAGAAAAAAATTAAAATTGCAACTAAAACTTAGATCCCCTATTGTGATATAAGAAAGAGAGTTCAAAAGTCAAATTCACAAAGATGACTATATTGGTATGACTATCCATAACATGTAAATTATGTAGATTATAACATTACGTGACGGTGTGACAAACATGTCCACCTACTTTCCTTAGGACAATACAAAAGATCTATTTCAATCATTTCTTATTTGATACACCTCATTGCCGGTGAGGGAAATGCTGCATAAAGAAAAAAAAAATTAGGACAAAAGAAATTAAACCCCTCCAAAGCTAAAATCAGACTACATGAAGTAAAGGGTGACAAATTCCCTTTTCGTTAGACCTGAAGGATTGATGGCATAGATCTGAACTAGATGGGATGAATCTATAAAAGCACTAAGGTTCCGCGTCAAAAATAAAATAAAATAAAATGAAGGTTTTGGAACATAGTCAATGTATATGATGCACATTATGATTGCATGTCAAGTAAGACAATATTAATGCACAATTCAAGACACATGGATGCAGATTCTGCTGACAAGCAATACAAAATGCTTTTTGTCTACCGTGATATTATAAACAAACATCAAATTTGTCTTCGAATGCAATTCTAAATGAACTTCAAGAACAATGTAATGTGAAACTAAATTTTAATTTTCACTCTGCTTAGGGTCACATGGTTCAGCCACTAATATACTCTGCTAGCTAGACCTTCTCTTTCCTACCACAATATACTCTGCTAGTAAGTATAGTCAGATAAAGCATAGCATTCACACGAAATCTTACCCAACAACAACGCAACCTTCAGCTGATGTCAAAATGTTAGAATGTTTAGACTGTTATTGATTGCTGATACCCGAAAATTGGAAAATTTTAAGTAGTTTCTGCGAGATATTGTCGAATTTCGACGAGAAGTTGACCAAATTCGACCTTTTTTTTTTGGGGGCTGATCAAATTCAACGTTTGGGTGTTCGGAAATATCACCTCGATAAATTTGCAAGAAAAAATCGATGAAACTACGATAAAATACCAGAGATGGCATTATTCTGTGACAATGATGTGAGCATGTTGTAAAAAGAAGAATGTAAAAAGACATGGAGGGAGAGACTTGAACACAAAACCTCGAGGCTATTCTTAACCACTTGAGCTACTAGTATCTTGCAAGACTTTTAGTGGTTATAATAGGAGAGTAAAGGATGAAGACGTCCTAAACTGTAAAGATCTAATTTGTAGATTTTATATACAATGATCTATACGTCTTTTTATATTTTTCATTTCTCAAAATGACATACAATTTAAACCCGTTTACGGCAAAGACTGAATATAATCCATAACAAAAACTTCATTTTCTTCTTTGCTAGAACTTCATGGGCAAAACTCTCGTGAACGTTTTTATTTATTTATTTGCTTTATATATATACAGAGAGTTTCTATTGAGGGATCCCTCAAATAAGCTTATTTGAGGGACACCCCTTGTAGGGCCCACTCCGAAGTGCATTTCACTCATCCAAACCGTCTATTTTGTAGATACTCATTCAAAGATCATCTCTACAAAAAAAAAAAAAAACACTTAAATCTGATATCATTTGACCATTCAATTGAGTTATTGAAATTTTAGTAATTTTTTGAAGCACCGTATTCATTGATTTTTTATGACACAATTGGATGTCGAAATGATTTCTAATTTGTCTAATTTTTTGTAAAGATGATTTATGAATGAAGACCTAAAAAATAAATAATTTGGATTATTATAAAAAAAATTGTAGGATACCCTAAAGGGCGTCCCTCAAATAAAATTATTTGAGGGATCCCTCAATAGAAGGGGACTGTGTATATACTTCAAACGGTCTCTTGAATTTTGTGATCCAAACCCCAACAAATAAAAAAGTCATTGACATTGGTGTAACAAATATTATAAAAGAAACTCATGAAAATTTGCACCTAATTAAAGAAGAAAAAAGAAAGTTAAAAATAAAAAATAAAAAATCGTTCTCTAGATTTCTAAGCTCTAATCTATTGCTTAATTTCTATCTAATCAGTAAGATAACAAAATAATATAATACTAACATGAAGGAGCAAAATTAAATATTTTGTTGAACACTGAATTCAATGGCATGCATTGATCATCCACCGAAGCATGACTCGGAAATACAGAAACTAGAGCCCAAGAAGAAAATAATAGAGAATTGTTATGGGCAAGGCAACCAGCATTCCAAAAATGACCCTGCAATAATAATTGGACGAACATAATACAAGTCAGAGACCCTTTTTCATCACCATTTTATTCGTGGATTAAAACAAAAAACAAAAAATTAATTAAGTAAATAAACTTACGCAGTGCTAAGTATGTCTGCGTGGACATTGTATTCCTTGGCAAATACAAAAGGAACAATGCCTTGAGGAAGAGCAGCCTGAAAAAAAAAAAAAAAAAAAAACAATGTTTAATCATTTAATTACATAAGCAATTTTTTAAAATACAATCACTTAAATGACTCTAAATTAATATAATTTACGGAGAAAGAGGGATTCAAACTTGAATGTAATAGGACGGACTCACTGTCCTGACCAACTGGCCTAACCACATATGGATATTGAATTCTTAATTGACTTAAGTTTTAAAAAAGTGGGTATAAATAGCTGGGAGATTGAGATTGTGAACCTGAACTATTGCAACATGTAAAAGAACTCCCCGAAGACCAACAGCAATAGAGGTTGCAGCAATCACTGCTGGGCCTGTTAAAAACCTAACAGCCATTGCAAATGTTGCAACAGATTTTCCACAAGCTATGATCTTTGGTTGTAAAGCCATGAATAATCCTGGAAAGAAAAAAAAAAAACAGTGGTTAAGAAAGTATACTTTTATATGGTTCATTTAGGTCAATATATACTGGAGCCAATTGAAGATAAATACCGAGACTGAACATAGCCATTCCCAAGCCAGCATCAGATAAGATTGATATAGATCCACTTACAATTGTTGGCATTTTGATGTGCCACCTGCCAATGATTGAAAGATTAATTTGAGTGGATGAGTGGGCATATATGTTTCATGGTTGATCACATCTCTCGCAAAATAAGATCCAAAAACTCCACATGAAATATATTTTTTTGAGAGATATAACATTAATTAATTAGTAATATTTTGAGTGATTTCTACACAATGCATGATGGGTGCACTGTAGAGAGAGAGAGAGAGAGAGAGAGATTTACTTGTATGATATGAGAGACCAGGCCACGCCAAGAAGGCTGGAGTAGGTGTTGGGGTTTCTAATGAGCTTTCTCCAGACCATAATGAGTATAAGTCTAGTCATGACACTGGCAGGAGGCATTTGGTGCTTCTTGGCTACACCTCCTTCCATGTCCACCTTCTTCTGGCAACTACTGTACGGCGAAGCACTTGGTGGAAACTTGGATCCTTCTTCTGTCTCAAGCTCCCTATCTCCACTCATTTTCCTCCCAGGACTCATATTCTCAATTAACTCATGCATACCTGCAGATTTAATATAAGTAATTAGGATATATAAACCAAATAACAATAATTAAGATTCAACCCTTGATTTAATATTTTGTGAACAAATTAATTGAGACTAGAAAAAAGAAATAAAAAACCAGATCTACGTCAAAGGAAGTTAATGAAGCTCCCTATGTTTTTGTCCAGTAGATAAGGTGTCAATTGTCCAGTAGCTGATGTAAGTACTTGGCAAGCAATTCACAGAAAAGACAAATATGGTTGGGAGTGGGATCATAAAATTATTTGGTGCTCACCTTTTGAAGCAGCAGTTTCATGTTGATGAAGAGCTGCAGCCTTGGAAGGATCAATTACCCCAAAGTCAGTGGAAGCAGCTCGATTTACTGCATGTCTAAGATTCCCTTCAGAAGCTGGCGATGCACTCGAACTCCAAACAAACATGTGAAGCTCTTTATTAGGCGCTGCCCCACCACTACCACCACCTCCTCCACCGCCACCTCCACTATCTTTCTTCTTCGGCCCACCACTGGTAGACCCGGAAAACATCGGGTTCGGCGGAGGGTACGAAGAGACCATACCACCATTGAAGATCTCACCGCTCATACTCCTCGCCCCCCTCTTCTTATTACTAGTAGTCATCTTCAACGCCTCCTCATCAAAATTTGAAGTCCTCGGCGTCACTCCTTTCGAAGACTGCACCGAATAAACATCTCCAAATCCGCCTTGGAAACTGTTTGTGTAGCCGTGCTTGGGGCTAGGCGCCTTGCTGGCATTAAACATGGCGTAAAAATCCGTTTGGTTGAAGCTGGACGCCCGCGGAGTCGGCTCACGGGAGGACTGCACCGAGTAAATCTCGACTCCCGTGAGATTAGAAGCCCGTGGGGTCATCGAAGTCAGCGAGTTCAACCCGTGCGACTTGTTGAAAGACGAGACCATAGACGAAGCATTGGACCGCTTCACTACCACGTGAAGCTTCCCATCGTCGCCGATCTCAGCGTCGGTTTGCAGCGGCTCTCGGCCGTTGAGTGAAACGACGTCAGAGTCAACTCTGAACGACGTGATCGAAGCTGCAGTCTCCGGGAACTGCTCGGAGATCAGGAGCTTGGCGCCGCGGTACTCGAACATGAAGAGCATGAGAGTGTACCAGATCACGCTCTGCAAAACAACAATCTGAACCATCAAGGTGCCGGAGAAGTCGCCGTACATGGCTTTGAGCAGCGGGATGCCCATGACGAGGGTGTTGGGGAGGGTGGAGAGGGAGAAGAGTGTGATCATCCACTCTAGGTTGCCGCGTTTGGAGAAGGCTTGCCAAAGGAAGAGGGCGACCAGGATGACGACTTTTTGGAGGGAGTCGGCGAGGATAAACTGGTAGTTCATGGCGTAAGGGTCGTTGGAGGAGATGAAGTGGAAGGAGAGCAATGGGACGGCGAAAACGGCCACGAAGCGGTTTATGCCGGAGCATTGGTCCGGGGTGAAGATTTTCCACCACCGGACGGAACCGTAGGCTAAGATCATAGCCACGTATAAAGGGACTATGGCTGCAAAAACATCGTATATGTCCTTGCCAGTGATCATGGTTACTGGTTTTTTCTGGCTTTGTTTTCTCCAAAATGACGAGATGGGTTTTGTTGTTTAGAGTGAGAATTGCGTGGAGGAAGGCTTAATTTGTGGTTTTTTCATGGGGAGGTTAGAGAGAGAGAGAGAGAGATGGAGAGGAAGAATGAGATGGTTGTTTGTGCTCTTATAGAGAAAGGTTTTGTTTGTTTTTTTTTCCATAAAAATTAAAAAATAATAATAAAAAACATGCAAGAACTTGGATTAATTATGGTAACAGAGAAATGGTGGGGGTTGATGCTCGAACAATGTAGACAAGAGATCAAGAGGAAATTTTTTTTTAATCGGGGATTGTCGAGCGTTTGTGTGTGTGTGTGTGTGGGAGAGAGAGAGAGAGAGAGAGAGAGAGAGAGAGATCATCTTCTTGTTGTGAAATGAAAACGGTGTCCGTGGCAGATTATTCTGACCACAAAATAAAAACGGAATAGTTTTTACATGCAAGTTTGTGTACATATAATATATATATATATATGTGTGTGCTAGCTAGCTGCTAATATATATATATATATATATATCTTTTTTCTTTTTCTTTCTTTTTTGTTTAATACATAAAAAGGCATCTATATAACTTGTGGAAAATAAAGTAATGCAAATTGGAAACATTGTCGATAAAAACGAGTGAGAGATTATAGAGGCGTTGTGTGCGTGCTGCAGTGTTGCAGAAGAGAGAAAGCTTAACAAGCACCACTGCAGATGATGTAGAACAGATGGCAGATTTTATCGCGGTTGAGCAAGAAAAGGGACGTGGTGGGAATTTGCAGAATTGTCGTCCGAGCTCCGATTAGGGGGCAAAATACCATTTCGGAAAGGGAACGATGCCACGAGTCAAACTCACAGCTTTGCTGTGATGTACGATGGATTTTGGCATTCTGGAGTCGTTTGGCCTTTCAAAACTGCATTCAAAGTTCGAAGTTAATTCCAAATAAATTCTGTTTTTCCGTTTCGGAGTTACATAGTTAATTCCCAAAATAAATTCTGTTTTTTTTCAGTTTCGGAGTTACGTAGTTAAGTCTCCGAATTAATTCTGTTTTTCAGTTTTAATTGTAATGACTCCCCTAGCAGTTACAAGGGTTGAGGTTCTGTATTTAGACGGGTTCGTCTAACATTTTTTGGCAGTTCAGATTTTAATCAAATTAATCAAAGAGAGTTTCTCTTAACTTCTGGTGGATTCCAGTTTCCTTGTTACTCAAGGTTTTCGTTTGAAACCTTATTTGCTTGTGCTGCGTCAA